TTTTCCTGCTTGTAAAGTTGGCTCATGTTTACAGCTTTGGGAAAAGCTCCTGGAAGATGCAGGGGCGAGCAATCCTACGGCAGCAGGAGGAAGGAATGACCGGAGACAGGCCGTGCCCTGACCAAGAGATGCTGTGGTTCAGCTGGTGAGACCCAGCTCAGCAGAGATCCCTTATTCTCCTAGCTAGTCCGGGTATCACTGCCTCCCCGGGAGTCACACAAAGCTCTCTTAAGTACAGCCTGGGGAAAACAGGCAGGGACTGCAGATCCTTCCTCCTCTGCTGGCTCCACAGCCCTGCTCTGGAAGCAGAGCATTCCGGCGAGGGCCGCTGGAGCAGGCAGCTCTCTCGCAGCTTGCTCAGTGCACAGCACGGCCGCATCTCCAGCGAAAGCAGCTCCCAGAATGAAGTTTCATTCGGCTCTTCCAGGAGGGTGGTGTTTCTGCCACACTGGGGCTCCCAGTCCTCAGCCGTGGAGGCATCAGAGGTGTGTGAATCAAGAGAAATGAGGGACAGATGTGGAACACAGGAAATCTCTGTTCTCTGCCCCCTCCCCTGGCTCAGCGAGGTGTGAGCTTTGGCTAAAATCCAACCTAATAAACCCACTAATCCTGTAATAACCCAAGATTGAGTCCCATTCTGGAAAATACACGTGGGAATATATTCAGGTCACAGCGGGTAAGAACGCAGCATTTATCATCTCTGCCAGCCTCCAGCAGTGGCAGATTTCCCACAGCTCTGCAAGAGCCCTGACCACAGGGCTGGAGCATTGCCCCCTCCTGCCTTCTCCCCAGCTCAGAGCCCAGCAGACCGGGGAGATGCTTCCTGGGGTGGGGGGTTGGTATCCGCACTGGGACACCCAGGAGCTCCGGGCTGGGATCAGAGTCCCCGGTCAGCGCAGAGCTCACGGGGGTGAGAGCAGTGCTGTGAACATCGGGCTGCTCCGGCTCCGGGCGGATCCAAGCAGGGTGGAAAAGTGAATCCACAAAAATCTGTTTCAACAAGGAAAACCTGCTTTTCTTTTGCAGGGAACACCTGTGGCACCAGAATATTAAGTGAATGAATGCATCACGCCAGCACTGTGAAGCAGACAGCAACTGCGCTGTCCTTTGGAGAAATACATGAATATACCAATTAATTACAAAAATGCCACCAAAACAGAAAAGAACTGAAATAAAGCACTGCTCTCTGAAGAGGATTCATTCTCTCCCTCTGAACTTGCAGTAACAGTGAAGGGAGCTGGGCAGCTGAACCAAAGAGAAAATACATTTTCAAGTGGTTCCCTCTCCTGGCATGAAATTTCCCAACGTACAGGGAGATGCTGCTGAGGCTGGATCTGGCCAGAGGAGAACTCAGAGAGCAAGAGTGGCACTGACACTAGAGGCACAAACACAGCTTTGATGACAGTGGGACCCCCTTTGCTCCTCTGCCTGATCAGTAGGTCAGTGGACAGTGTGCACGTGGACACTGCCCTTCATCCACTTCCGACCACGCGCCAAACCAGCACAGTGAAGGGAAAGAAAGGGCCGGCACTTCCCATGGCTGTGAAGCAGCATCAGCCCCAAGCACACAGCTGAACCATTGATTCCAGGGCTGCTGGTCCCCAAGGAGTGTCCCTTCCAGTACTGGCCACTGGCTCTTCACCGCTGTACGTAGCCCGCGACGCTGTGCACTGCAGACCTGTGCTCCCCGACAGGCGGGGGGCTCACAAAGCAGGAGGCTGCTGGCCCTAATTAGCAGCCTCCAATCCACCTCCCATCAGCACGAGCTGCATGGAGAGGGAGAGCATCCACCGAAGGGATGAACTCGGTGCAAGGCTGGGAGTCAAGTCACCATCTCCTACCCCCTCCTGAGCCCCGCTGTCTCACAGAGCCGCTCTCCTGCAGCAGTGGCTCCTGCCCCCGCCCCG